TAAAATCTTCCCGGTCTTGTTTTGACATCCGCTTCAAACATTACAGTGCTCACGATAACTTTCGTTAACTCTACAATAAGTACATCCACTTCACCAGCTAATCACTCTTTGACAGCAATGCAATACAGAGCTACTGCCAAACAGAAGTTCAAGAACATTCTAAAAATGGATATTAGTTCCGAATCCAATAAGCAAAGCGGTGTTCCAAAAGTTCTGATGTAGTCCTAACACACTGAGACTTTTCATGGTTTGTGCGTCGCCTTCTTTTTTTTTTTTTTTGTCAATCTGTGTGAATTGTGTGGTGAATATCCAGTGACTCTTGCTGCCTTCAAGTGCAACTTGTGCCTTTAAGGCAGGTGTTCATTAGGCCACAGGGGTTCAGAGTTCTGGCCCTCGAGGTCTACTTTCCTGCAGAGCTTATGCTTCCTTCACATGCTATCAGAAATTTCCTACTTCCCACTTCAGAAGTCGTAGTTATGAGTTTGTCTCGTTCAAGCGTTGTTCCAGTAAAGAATTGGAAATCATTGACTGCTTGTTCACTTACACCGCACTATCTAGATAGGCAGCTTGCTGACAGTTCTAAGATTTCGGTCACATAGCATATATGCTATTTTGCTGCATATAAAACATACAACGCGCATCAAATCGTTATTTACAGTATATACGAGACTTTAACAAGACAAGACAATGCAGATTTTGTGGTAAAAAAAAACAACAACAACAAAAACAAATAAAAAATACCAGTCACTCAGCCATGTTTAAAGTTTATGGCCCACCCAACTAGGAAACTCGGGTATCAAAATTTTCTCAGAGTCCCCTAGTTGTAAATATGACTTTAAAGTGATTTCATGTTCCAACTAGGAAAATAAAATAGTTTTTATGTTAATTCCGATAGCATGTGAAGGCAGCATTAGCTCCAACCTTGATAAACCTCACCTGCCTGTAATTTTCTAGTAATCCTAAACTCTTTTTGATTAGCTTGCTCAGTTGTGTTTGACTAGGGTTATAGAGCAAAACTCTGCAGGAAATTAGACCTTGGGGGCCAGTGCTACAATTACATGAAAGTAGTCTAAACAAAACAGAATTATTACAACAATGTTGACCAAGAAATCCATTTCTACATCTGAATTCAAAATTATAAAAAATATTGATTTATATATGTTGGCTATACATCTGATCGATTTCTGAAGGCAGCAGCATCCTTGGCTGCCTATAGTATCCCACAGTGTTGTGCGTTCGATTGAGCTAAACTTTCTGAAAGTTGTGGTTGGTGGTCAGTTTGTGTGTAAATGTAAGTTGTTGTTTTTTTACCAACTTTCCCCACTTTTAATCTCATTTCTAGTGCGAAATTTGTACTGCAGTAATTTAAAAATGCTTAATTATCACATAAGCACTCTACCTCAGTGAAATTGGCCCCCCACCCAACGCAAAACGTCGGCAAAATGTGTCAATCGTTTGTGCTGTAAAAATGTTCGTTTGTGCTGCTTTGGATTTTTAAATATTAAAATAATATTTATAGGTAATTCTGAGGTCACTCAGCCCCCCACATGCTCCAAATTTACCCCAAATAGTCTTGTTTGTTTGTGCTTCGTTTGTGCTGGTAATATTTTCGTTTTTGTTACTGTCTTTTTAAAATATTTTTTCCTAGTCAACTAGTCGCATGTTTATATTAAATTGATTAATATAATAACCTATTAAACCATCCTTTAATATATAGGCATTTAGGAGTATCCTATTCCACGCTCAACCGTGCGCATAAAGCTTGCTGCAAAGCACTGGCAAAAGTATTGATTGAATGAGTAGGGGAAAAAGAAGACATTGTAATTGTTTATTATTAAACTTGTGCTTTCTCAGTCAGTGTCGGCTGCAAAGATGAAGTTGCCAAATGCCGACGCTGATGGCCATCTCCAGTAGGCTAATGGACGTGCCTAATAGAGAAATGCACCCTTTCATACGGACCACATAATTAGAGAAGATTTGTTTTTTATTTATACAATCCGTGTATCATTCGATAATTTGTTTTTTGATTTAATACTGAAAGTAGAATAATGAGAAAACGGCTTTTTTCCAAAAAACCAAACGAAAATTTAAGCTGAATTCTTGTTTTTCGTTTTTTGGAAAAAAACGAAAAAGGAGCCGTTTTCTAATTTTTCTACTTTCAATATTAAATCAAAAAACGAATGATCAAATGATACACGGATTTACACGGACCAAACAGGATATTGCATGTTTTATTTGTGCGCAGAAACGAAAATAGGCCTATATCAAGTCTTTATTTTTTTGTTATTTTTTTGTTTTTGTTTTGTAAAGACATAAAGAAATAGGCCTAAGTCGTTTTTTTCTTCTTCTTTTAATTAGCCTAATTGAATGAATATGGCTACTAACAATTAAGTGACTGCGACTATTTCATGTGATTTGGTTTGCCGCATGAATTTTACCTTATTACTTCAACTGTGTTCAACTGTCAAAAAAGACAGTAAAAAACTAAAATACTACCGGTACAAACCAGCACAAACAAACGAGACTATTGGGGTAAATTTGGAGCATGTGGGGGCCTGAGTGCCCTTACGAAAAATAAGTTTATTCAAGTGTGCTATTAGTATACTTCTTTTAAACTAAGAAATAGGAAAGTATACTTTCAGTCTACTTTTTATGTACTTCTCATAAATGTGCTTTATGTACTTCTCAGAAATGACATTTAAGTATACTTGGCTTACTCTTAGAAAAAGTCTAAATAAATTTGAACTATAACCTACTTGTGCTCCGGGAATCCATGTTTTCATTATTATATGGTAGGGGGCGCTATTGCACATCTTCTGTACAGAATTTCCAAAACACAAGCGAAGAGGAAACCGAAACAACAGATGCTTCCACATGTAATCTAACACGACCATCAGACATAAAACAGCATCAAAACTGTGTAACGTTACTATAAGTTCACTTTTAGTATAGTTGCAGTACAAACTAAAAACATAGATGTAAACGAGTTGTGTACTCAAAGTTTACTACTCTTATACTTAATGTATACTTAAAAGTATACTTTTATATACTAGAAAGTGGGCCAATTTAGTCCCAATGAGTATTGAAATAGTACACTTACAAGTATACTACTAGTACACTGATATTTGTATACCTACTACATAAAGTATACTTAAAAATATACTTGATATTTATTTAAGTATACTTAATAATATAAACTTGAAGTATACTTCTTTTTGGTAAGGGTTACCTCAGAATGATCATTAAATATTATTTTAATCTAAAAAACCGAAGCAACACAAAAACGGGCACAAACCAGCACAAACGAAGCACAAACAAACAAGACTATTTGGGGTAAATTTGGAGCATGTGGGGGGCTGAGTGACCTCAGAATGATCACTAAATAATATTTTAATAGTCTATCTAAAAAACCGAAGCAGCACAAACAAAACAAATTTTACGGCACAAACCAGCCCAAATGAAGCACAAACAAAGAAGATGATTTTGGGTGAATTTGGAGCATGTGGGGGGCTGAGTGATCTCAGAATAACCTATAAATATTTTTTTTAATATCTAAAAAACAAAGCAGCACAAACAAATTTTTTTACAGCACAGACGATTGAGACTATTTTGCCGACGTTTTGCGTTGAGTGGGGGGCCAACTTCACGGAGGTAAGCACTGTCTATTTTATTGTAGATCATTAAACTTTTATGCTGCCTCAGAAGTCTGTCCGAAATCATTTCCATTCACCAAGTCATTGCCTGATAGGGCAGCAAGGCAACAAGTCAGCTGCCTAATAAGCTTTTGGACACAGCACTTGGTAAATCAATATTAGGTGGTTCACAAACACTGCTTGAAAAGTCACTGGGTTATAGGGTGAGGCAACAAGTCATATACAGTGATCATATAGTCATACAGTGAAGCAGCTAAGCTGCAACAGCTGGCTTTGTTTGCACGATGGAGGAGAAAAACAATGTAACTGCCAATGTTGGGTGTAATGTACATCACTCAATATTAACTTGAGTTGTAGAGTTGTAGCAATGTCACACTTGTTCAGAACAGTATAGCACTCGTTTGTATTTATGTTGTTTTTAATTCTGTTCTTTTACATTAAGAACAATAGTTCTTAAAGTTCTTAAAGTCAAAAGTTGTATGGACTACTTTTATGGTTCTTTTTGGACACCATATGCTATATCATTGTATGGAAAAGTGAGTAAGTGGCCGGTACGAGACTCGAACCCGCAACCTTTGGGTTACGAGTCCAACTCTCTAACCATTAGGTCACGACTTCCCCAAGTCGAGAAGAGCAGCAGAAACATTTTTTAAAGCATCTCCTTTTGTGTTCCAAGTAACTTGACTCATACAAAGTTTTTTTTTTTTGCCATCTAAAAACCTTTATTTATCCCAATTACAAGTCTTGAGTTCAATTTTACCTCAACCCAAAACAAAACAGCCTTAAACCAAAACAAAACCAATGTAGCATAAAATGTCACTCAGTGAAACTGCTTGATCACATTTGTAAACATACAAATGGCAGTGCATTTACATGCGGAGTTTAAGAGCTTATGTTGACATCATGTAACAACAAAATGATTATGCAATTCAGTGACATGCAACATAACCTTAATACCAATCAATAGTGTTTCTGATCATTTTAATACAAGCAGAGACATCAACACATTATGTAACTGTCATTTGCAAAACAAGCAACATGTGGAAAGCAAATTAACCCCAGAGAACTTCGATGAGAACATAGCACCACGGTAAATGTTTACAACCATGAAGCAGCATATAATGGGCAGATGATAGTCCAGAATTGCAGAGAATACTCTAATAATGATAATGAAGGCCTCACTTTAATGAATTCTAAAGTGATGTACTTTCCTCCTCAAAAATAAGTGCATTTAGAACACTCAGATAATATCACTTATGAAATCTATTGACCAAAAACATTTCAAACAAGTGTTTGTTTAATTTTCTAGTTTTAAAACAGCCCTTTATTAATATATAAAGCAAATCTTCTTGTTATATGAACCCCATAAAAAACAAATCTCCTCAAAATATTCCTTATAAATATAGCATCTATATAAAGACGATAGATAGATAGATAGATAGATAGATCTACTGTATGATAAAAGTTAAAAATGTATCAAATCACTAAACAGTAAGCCTGTGATATGTCCAATAAACTAAAAAGAATTTTCCAGCATTATTGCTAATAAAACAATTTCATTAGCAAAGTTTTTGTGCGAGAAAAAATATGTATGTTCAGAAAACATACTTCTACACAGCAGTTCCTATGACATGTTTGCATCGTAAAGCAAGAGAAAGATGTCTTCATCTAAACAATATAAGCTATATAATGAACTCCCTTAGTGGCTGACCTGTAACATCATCACGATCTCTTATTTCTGCTGCTTTTCTGGTTCAATCAGCTTCCCTTTGTTATATTTCTGTCCTATCCCATATGGCACGTGGGCAGAAATAGTGCCCATCTCCTTGGCACCCTCAATGTGGAACATCTGGTCGTCAAAGAATATATGCGGGCGAATCTTCTGCAGCAGGGGCCCTTTAGGGGCCCCAGCAAGGAACAACGCCTCATCGATCTCCAGGCCCCAGCTTCTGAGTGTCTTAAGCACACGGACCCCAGAGCTGGCCGCGCTTCTGGCCGTCACCAAGAAGGTGCGGATAGGGCAGTTCAGTCGCTCGTTTTTGGCGTAGAATTTCTTCTGGAGCTTCCCTAGAGCCTCCAGAAAGCACTTAAGGGGACCCTGAAGATGAATAAGAGGGGAGGAGTGTGTCAGCCAATGGGATTAGAGTGAACCTGATGATCTATTATTGGCAAGTGCTTATGCTGGAGCAACCACAGCTGCCCATTTAAGACAGAGTCTGCATTCGAAAGTTGAAAAATGCTGCCTCCACAGACAGCATATGGAGGTAGGAATCCCACAAGGCCTGTCCAAATCCAGTGATTGTGTCACATCCTGTCTACTAAAATACTTTAATCTGTCGATTTTGAATGCAGCATCGTTTCCTATGATATCCCACTATCCTGTGCATTTGATTAAAGACAGTTTCAGAGGAAAATTGAGGTAAAAAAAAGTGTCATCTGAAAGTTGTGGTCAGTGGTCAGTTTGTGTATAAATGTATGTTTTTGAACAGCTTTTTCCATTTTTATTTCATTTGTAGTGAGAAATTAATATTGTACTAATTATATACAGGTGCATCTCAATAAATTAGAATGTCGTGGGTTGGTGGGTTTTTGTTAAATGTGAGCCAAAATCATCACAATTAAAAGAACCAAAGACTTAAACTACTTCAGTCTGTGTGCATTGAATTTATTTAATACACGAGTTTCACAATTTGAGTTGAATTACTGAAATAAATGAACTTTTCCACGACATTCTAATTTATTGAGATGCACCTGTATTTGCTTAATTATCACCAAAGCTCACTCTGTTTTGTTTTAGATCATAAGACATTTAAGGTCCATTAAGGTCCATGCTATTAGTTTCAGGAGATACTTTTGCCTGCAAATCACTGCCTGTAGTTGCATTACAAGTCAGCTTTCGACGCAGCTAGACTCTCAAGTATGTTAAAAATGACCCTATGGAGAACCATGTGGTGTTGTATAAATAGCATGTCCCTGAATCCATTAACAAAAATCCCCTGTATGGTATGTAAAGAATCTTCTTTAAAGGGCTTGCACGACTGCTCATTTTCACTAGTTGACTAGAAGTTACTGACTAGTCAATGATTAACTGTCTTTAGGAAAAGCAAAACACACTGGGTTCACTTTATTTTCATTTTTACATAATTCCAAATATATATGGCATTTATAGGTTACTATCGATGCATTCAAGTCATGTTGGAAAGATTGTAATTACAAGCTGAACGCCTCCAAAAAGTTGTAATTACTAGCTGGAAACTGAACTTATTCCAAGTTAAAACTGTGTCCGTGAGAAAATATGGCAGATGCATCATCTGCACTGATGGTAAATTTCTTGAAATTAGTGAAATTAGCATAATTTTTTTTCTTTACAAAAAAAAAGTCAAGATTCAATTTACAGAACCTCCATAAATTTAATTAAAAAAAAGAAATGCAATAACACACAGATGCACATTCTTGATTTATCATTTTAATCTTCCTGATTTTTTTGTAGAAAAAGAACATCAGCATCTTGTTCCAACCAGTGACTTGAACGCACATGACATTGTAATTACAACTTCCAAATTCATAAATATGAACTTCCCAGGTGGACTGGAACACAACATACTGTTTTCTAAATTAATGTTACTCAGCTACACAAACACTGTGTATTTGAACTTCTTCTGCTGCTGCATAGAAGCAAAATAAAAGTCACTAGTCTAGTAGAAATACCTGACATACCTGTGCGAGAGGTTTATTCTCGTGTTGTTTTTCATGCTCAAAGAATGTGTCCAGGCCGTGCTGTTTCACTATGATCTCCGACTCATCAGAGAAGAGCACAGCATCTCCATCGAAAGCCACGCGCAGCTGAGTCTCAGACAGCTGAGACTCCACATCAGGCTTAAACATGATGGCTGCTGCTATTCCTATCATGGTGAATGAAACATTACAGTAGTCCCTTTACTGCAAAGCCAAAAACACTAAAGTATGAGGAACATCATTACTCTAAATGTACTGTAACTCCTTGATTAATCTTAAACAATGCAATCTAAACATGCCGTCAATTTACAAGGTGAAATACTTCAGTTTAGCATGCATGCTGTAGTTGTTGCATGTCATTTGCATGTTTATCATCAATTTACCCTCCTCAATGGCCTCCTGAACTTTTTTGGCGTCTTTGGAGAGATACAGGTTAGTCATGTAGGCCTTGAGGTAGCCAATTGGGCTTTGACCTCCAGTCATGCAGAATCGCTCTATCGTCAGATCTGTAAAAGAAGAATTTTCGTTTTACCACTCAACTACCGTCTCTTGTAGTAAAACTTCCTTGTTGTACATTGTGCTGTGTTAAATGTTGGGTGTATTTCACAAAGACAAACTCCTGCAAGCTTAATTGGCCAATAAACTTTCAGTTCAACTTCAGTTGTAAACTTTTAGGGGTTGCTCAGATTTATAATGTAACATCTAGACCAGAATGCAGTGAAAATGACACACCTACCATAGTGATTTATGCTGTTCATGAGTCGCACCCCAACTTGGGCGTGATTATTGGTCATGAGAACAATGTCAAACAGCTCTTCACTGTCTGGATAGAGATTCCTCAGCCGTTCATTTACAGCCATTACAGCCTGTGTGAATATTACAAGGAAGAAACTCTTGTTTTCATAAGCAAGCAAGCAAATAGTGTCTAGCAACATCAAGCAGCATAATGAACTGTATTTGCAGAGTTACAATAACTGAAAGCAATGTCAAACCTTGAACCTTCATGTTTAAGTCGACCATTCCCACTATGTTATGTTAAAAATAAAGTGGAAAGATAATACAAATTGATTATTTAATCATGTAGGACATATGAATGTGGTCCTGACGTGCAGCCTCCAGTAGTACAGAATAATACTATTGCAAATATAGAATGCTCCCATTATAACTTGTGTGTCTGTAGTATTGACAGCTTTATTGTTTATAATTGCGGTGTTCTATAGTGATTGGGAATTCTGAATCATTTCTGTGGGAAAACGTTGGTTCCAAAGAACCGGTGATTCACCGGGTTTTATGTCATGGTGTTTGCATCATCACAACTTCCCAGTATGGCATATTACATGCTCTATATGTTCCAATAAAGCGGGCACATATTATGGTTTGTAAAGTTTAATTAATAAGGGTGTTTATTGTAATCTCTTGTGTCCCAGTTTGCATGTTGCAGTCATGATTCGGCTCTCAAAATGATAAAGAAGTTTAGAATGTCAGTTTAAATAACTTTTTTCATAGCAAAGTTTGAATAATATGCTTAATTAAAATGAATCGATCTGTGCTAAACATAAGTTTAAATAGTAATATTTCATTTTATATTTTACAAGTTTATAGTAATAATGTATTACTAAAGTGAATAAACAAACAAATAAATAAATACATTTCAACTTAGTCTGCATATTGTATTAATTTGTGGACGATGTTATTCTAATGTGTGGATCATGTTATTCTCACTTTAACGAAAGGGAAAGCAGGTCCTTGTTCCAGTGGCTCGTTCTCGTGCTCTTGCTGATGTTGAACATACTTCTCCAGTCCTTCTTCCTCAAATATCTTCCTTTCTGCCACCATATCAAACAAGGTGCGGGAAGAAACTGCGATAGTAACTGCATATTTCGGCTTGGGCTGTTAAAAGACACGTCCAAAAACAATGACAGTCAAACTGGCTGCAGCTAATCGTATAGCCTACAGTATGAGCATAACACCTTATTGAAATTCACTGAACACTTACGGGTCTCGGTTTTGTTGATTTTAAGTTTTCAAAGTGCGCTTTAGCAGCTGCCCAGTCCTTTTCCTCTCCTGCAGCTTCCTTTTTGTCAGTTGAAGCCACTTCTGTTTGTTTTATTTCGCTCATTGTATCTTGTTAACTGTAAATGGTCTGTTAATGTTAGTGTGCGTGCTTGACTTCCTATGTTGAGGCAGGGCTGGATGTCAGACATCGCGGAAATGTGAAGGGGTTGGATGCTGAGAAGGAGGCGTTCCGTTTGACGCAGGACGTGTGTGCTTTCACTCACAGCAGAGACTAGTCTGAGATCCACAGCTAGTCATTTTTGTTCACTGTAAACATGAGGGTTTTATCTCCAAGACCATGTCGCTTATTTGAATGTTCTTGTTATTAAAATAGGACAGCTTCGTTTTTTTCTGTGACCAAATTTTTGGGTGTGTAATAGAATAGAATAGAGACTTAAATATCTAGTATGTTTTTAATTATTTTCATTGTCTGATGAACACTATTGTTGATCTAATGATGGTAATGATGGTACACTGTAAACATGAGGGTTTTATCTCCAAGACCATGTCGCTTATTTGAATGTTCTTGTTATTAAAATAGGACGGCTTCGTTTTTTTCTGTGACCAAATTTTTGGGTGTGTAATAGAATAGAATAGACTTAAATATCTAGTATGTTTTTAATTATTTTCATTGTCTGATGAACACTATTGTTGATCTAATGATGGTACAAAAAAAAAACGTGTTTATGTATTTGTGTCATTTGCCACCCCCAATGTTATGGGCTTCACCTCGGTTAACTTAACTTGGGCCCTATTGTTGATTTTTCTGAAGTAAATAACGTTATATGAATCGTGACTATTCACAAGCTTGTTTTACGGTATAGGCTAAATGCTTGGAAATGATATTTAAAGTTTTCAATTCCTCCTCTTTAATATTTGCAGCACGAAATAAACATGAATATTTGAATACATGCATGAAAAAAAAATGGAAAAAACGAATGTCTCATGAAATCGATCAATCAGAGTTTAAAAAAACGTCAATAAGTCTACACTTTATTGCTGTTTTTTTATGTTAAATGTGAAGGGATGCCAGTGCCACAGACTTTTTCTTTTCTTGTTTTTTGGCGGAGTAGCCTATGGAATTTTCACATTAACTTCACGCAATATAACATGGTTTTATTATCGTAATTTTGACTTTATTCTTAAAATATTATGACGTTAATCTTATTTATTTAGTTATTTTTCAACGTGGCACTAAAATGCTGCCATAGGCTATTTATAGCTAGGCTACTGAATGCAAACACAATTTTGGCACAGCAGCCCAAAAATACAAACAAAATAAATAAAAAACAAACAAAAAAAGTAGAAAATAATAATAATAATAATAATAATAGTGAGGGGATATTTAAATTATTTGTTAATAAACAAGTGCTTTCTGAGTCAGTGTTGCAAAGATGAATTTGACGAACCTGACTCGCCATCTCCTCATTGGACGTGCCTTTAGAGAGAAATGCATCTTTACGGATTAAATAATGAAAGAGTTTTTGTTTTCGATTTGAATTATTTCGTTTTAAAATAGTAATTTAAAGCATTATATAGATATATTTATCATGTCGGTAAGGCAAGTATTCGCTGAGTTTCAGTTCATCATTGTGAGGCGCTCCTGCTCAAGACAGAGACGACAGAAAGCGCATCAGAAAGCGTTTGTTTTCCTTATTTTACAAAAGCACAAGGTTTTGTTGAAATTGTGAGTGCACACAAATAAAAGTAGACTTTGCAGTTCCGAATATGGTATACCTTTATGAGCAAAAATGACGGCGTATTTTTAAGCTTCCACTGTTATTTAAAAAAATGCAAGTTATCGCGCTGGCGCCTCCCATGTCCTGCAAAGCGCGATTCCGCTTCCACTCCACACAAACGATTGGATATGTGCCTAACAGCGCACATTTATCTAGGTTAAATGTTTAAATGAACACTGTGAAATGCACAAAGTGTTTTATGTCTATAGATTTTATTTTAGGCAAGTCTTCGTGTTGATTTGAGAAGGCTAATGATCAAACATATGCTCAACTCACTGTCTGCCGCTGGCCGCTTGGTCGTTCCTTTAAAAAACAAAAACCTGAATTTAACAAACATAAAATGTTCCAAACATATTTCTTAATTAACTTAATAAATAAACGAAAATAAATATTACCATTAAAAACCGAAACTGAACTAGCAGCTGTGTAATGGGGAAGAGAGAGGGAGAGAGAGAGAGAGAGAGAGAGAAGTCGGACTCGGGCTGAGAATTCTGATAAGCTGTGGGATAAGGGAACTTCAGGGAAATTGCAGGAAAATTCACTTCCTCGTTTCAATTAAAAGTTCCCATCAGCTCGGCGGGCCCCCAATCTGCCCGGGCCCATATGCACCTGCATACCCAGACGCTACCCCACTGCCATGATTTATTTCCATTTGGCACAAGTGTTCAAATGGGCTTGAAGACCACAAGGCTGTTTAGAAATTTTCATTACCTGATGGGACACGTGATATAAACTTTTTACAGTGCTTTATTTACACAGTACAACGGCGCCAGTGCGCTCACCACACTCCATCTACAGGTGAAGAGGAGAGAGAGATAGAGCCAATTTAGTGGATGGGGATTATTAGGAGGCCATGATTGACAAGGGCCAGTGGAGGGAATTTGACCAGGACACCGGGGATACACCCCTACTCTTTACTAGAAGTGTCATGGGATTTTTAATGACCACAGAGAGTCAGGACCTCTGTTTAACGTCTCATCCGAAGGATGGTGCTTGTTGACAGTGTAGTGTCCCCATCATACTGGGGAATTAGGACCCACACAGACCACAGGGTGAGCACCCCCTGCAGGCCTCACTAGCACCTCTTCCAGCAGCAACCTATAGTTTTCCCAGCAGGTCTGCAATACAGATACTGACCAGGCTCAACCCTGCTTAGATTCAGTTGGCAACCAGTCTTGGGCTACAGGGTGATATGGCTACTGCTCCAAAGTGGTATTAAATATAGTGCAACCAAAATCACAAACTTTCGTAGGTGAAAAACAATATGTGAGTATACCTGTCTTCACAGCACTGATAAAACAATATGTGAAAAGTACCCGGATGACCTACTAGTCTACTTCTGAAGTTTTTGAGTTTGAGACAGGCTAGTAGTCAGAGACCCTATCTGCAGGTTACACCAATAGGAGGCGACAAGTGACTGCTTTACGCGCTAATAATTTAATCGACAAATTCGTTCAAAAACATTCGGAGTTCAAAACACTGATTCATTATAGCGGTCTGAATGGCGTTGATCATCAAGTCTGCCTCTATTTATAATAGAATGTCCGCGCACTCAAAAGGCGCCAGAAGGGGTTTCAACATCCTCGGTTAATGGTGTCCGAATGGAGGCGTCGGTTCAAATCGTGTCAGACAGCAGCTTTATACAGTAGCTGGACAACAAGTAAAAACTCAGAAGAATGTAAGGCACTAAATGTTATCATTTTCTTACATCGGTCGAGCTCCATTGATCGAGGCGCGCAAGGCAATTCCACCTTCTCAGTTTTGAGGTTTCTGGTCTCTGAATAGAGCAAATCCCACTTCTGGCAGGACACTTTTGCCGTGAATGGATAAAAGTAGCTCATACATAATTTAAACCAATGTTATCATTTCAGTAGGACATTCTAAACACTGCAACCTTTGCATATGACTGAATCACAGCCGTGCTTATATTCGGAACCGCAACTGATATCAACCAACTAATACGAGTCATTTTAAGGGTTAAGATCGTGTAGAAATAACTGTACGTTGCCACTTTTTACAGTGTTTGTGTCACACGTGCTGCAGCATGCATCGCTGTCCCAGCATCTCTCCTCCCTCTCACAGCATGTAAACTTAATGTCTAAAGTTTTTAAGTTTGACATAAGGTAGCTCCACACTATGCTCGTTGGAAGCAGTGACGTCAAATGACGCTTTGTTGAGGTCGGGTAGATCAATCTGCCATGAGTTCACAGGTCGGATATCCAACTTCAAGCAGTGTTCCAGACGTTATTTCCAAGTAGGAGGTGGGGAAAATCCTAATTTTGAGTTGTCTGGAATATATAAGTATATATACAGCCAACTTACCATTATCCCACAAGAGTTTTTTGGCATCCCTCCTCCACCCCAACTGCTCACTCCTAACTATTTCTATCCCAGCTTGGGATATGGGGGAGTCCTCTGGGTTCGGGCTAAATTTAGAGCTCGGATCCCTCCACTTGGACAGCATGCGAAATATTCATAATGTTTGCTCTATTTGATTATATGTAAGTGCGAACTCGTGAATTTTGGTTATAACAGGGGTGTCCAATCCTGCTAATGGAGGGCGAGTGCGTGTGTGTGTAGTATTGAGTGAATGAGTGTGTGCACTGGCAGTGTAGAGGTACTGACCAAGTTTACAGTCTTTAAGGAAGCTGGAGAGTGTATCGGGTTGTCATCAGACACCAGGTGGATAAGCAGCCGACACTTGTCTTCAGGACAGCCTTACTAAAACCAGACGATCTTGAAGTGCACGCTTTACATACGTAACCGAGACGTTCCCTATCTGTCGGTCACTTCGAGTTATGTCGATGATGACATTAGGGGTCCATGGAAAGCGCCACAACCTGAACCCTGTCACAACCCTATGGCATTGCAAATGTTGACAAGCAGCCGCGTAACGGTGGTGGCCGCCCTACCATAGAAAAACTTAAATTGACAAAAAAAAATTTAATTAACCCAGGATAGCTAGAAAAGGAAACCACCTGTTACAATATTAAATAACGGCCGTCTTTCCCCTTTGCACGGTAATCCAATCCCTCTCACTACTGCAAACCTTACTGAGGACGCAATCACTCTCGGGTATGACTCACTTCCTTATATCCTCCTTCCTTCCGCCGTTAATTGAAATACTTCACCCCAATCACGCAAAGTGAAAACAAAAGTAAACTGAAAAGATGTTGTGGCCCAAAGTTTTTTTGCACTGCCACACGCGTGTCAGACAAATGCTACGCAAGGGTCGTAACCTTCCCACCGCCCCAGCTCAAATTCACTGACCTTGGTACCCACAGGGACCAAAGGTTAGTACATAGCTGCTGGTGATAGCCAAGCCGCTGTTCCTTTCACCACAGAAATTTCTTAACAGAAGGGATTTCGACCTTCATTGAAAGATTGCTTCAAGTCTTTCCT